ACTGTTGCTCCTTTATCTTTCCTCTGTCCTTTTTCTTTTCTATAATTTCACAGCTTCCACTGGCCACTGCAACTGAGTCACCAAAATAGGTAACGTTTTGTCTCCCGATAACCAAAACAAACAAACAAAAACATCAAACTGGATCAAACAGGAAAGGCACTATGTCACTTATGTGAAAAGTGCAGAAAAAAATGAGAAAACATCAGCGGTAGAACAGCTCAGGCCCTGTTTCCGCTCCAAGACAGCAATTCCCTGCATCTGCAGCGGCAACCTCATCCTCAGCCAGCTCCCCGTGTGCAGCAGAGCACCCTCGCAAGTCCAGGTGTTACAGGAAAGTACAGATGTTTCCAGGAAAGAGAAGTCAGATGCAAAGCTCCGGTTTCACATTGGTTGGGCCACTTCATGTCCTGCCCCATCCTGGACACAGTATGCAGGGTAGGGGAGACAGACATGCTGATGTTCTCTGGAGGTGCCGCAGAGGCACTGCTCCCCAAGGGGGGCCACTCCAGGCAGGCCGGGGAAGCAGAAAGTCATGCCACTTGCCAGATTCACCTCGGAAGCTAGGAGAGATTGGAGGCATTCTTCCGCTTGACTCTGGGGTCTGTGGCAACCTAAGAGACCTGCTGCAGGTTGCCAGAGAACAACCTGGAAGTTCCCTTTCTCTGCTCAAGATTGGCAGTGCTCTGACAGCAGCTCCATGTCCTGGACCAAACTTGTGCACTTCCTCCGTTTCCCTTGGTCCTTTCCACGCGCACATCCCTCCTCGAGACTGGGCGTATGACTCAAGTTAATGCAGCTCATTCATACTAAAGCATGCATGGAAATTAATAATTTTATAAGACGTCACTGAGACTTGCTGCCACCAGGGAGGAGCTAATGTGCAACAAAACGCAGGTAGAAATCCGGGCTCACTCTGGGTAAGTTCAGAACCAGTGTTTGTTGCGTTGCATGCACTGTGGGAAAGCATACCCCACTGCACCTTGCCTCGCCCGCAAAACAACCAGACACGTCAGGTCATGAGACGTTCTCACGAGCTTGCACAGAGGATTGAGGGCGTGAATGAAATATTTAACACGTTCAACTCATTCTCAAAAGAATTGCTTTTCTTTGTGGAGTTTAACTGTAAGGGTAATGAGCACACTCATTACTGTGTATTTAACATGTATTTAACATGTCAAGAATGCCATATTGCTATTCACCTCCAAAGGGATGAAAGCAGATCGCCTTTCGGAAGGAAAGACATACTCAGAATCACAGCATGTGGGAGGGGAGACACGGGTATGTGTTTTCAAGCTTTTTCAGTCCATCCAAACCATCCTAGCCATGTAACAGAGTTAGCTCTCTCTCCCTGTGTTGTGTTTGTGAGTTTAGAGATTTGGAGTTAGCCGTAAACGTGTGAACCCTCCTTGAGCTACACACCCCTCTGAGACCTATGGAACTTGCCTCAGAAAAATAGTAGGACTATAAGGTGAATCAAGTAATACATCAGACAGGAAAAGCTAGAGGCAGCCCCACCAGCAAACACCACTTTGAGATGACTTCCTTGGACTTATCTGGAAGTACCTGACATTTGCCTTGTGCTATGAACGCATCCCTAGTGTTGATAATGAAGTGACAGGTAGTGCTGGTGCCCTACGGTCTCTGGCCTGGACAGGGGTGACAGTCTAGCTCTGGATTCTGCTCTCTTGACTGAGTTACTTTTAATTGAGCTCAGACCCTTCATTGCCCAAGGTCACTGAGTACTGACAGTATGGATACCCTGCGTCAGTAGCTGCAGGTGAGGTGGGTTTTGTTTGGGGTCTGGTTCTGTGATCCTCAAATACACAACACTAGCATCACCAATACCCATGCATGAGAACCTACCATTATTACTGGTCCAGGGCCCTCTTCTTTGCTTTAATCAAGTCAGTTAAGTACAATAATGAATATTCATGGACTCACCACCAAGCACAAGGTCTCTGCATTGACAATAGCTTATCCCACCTCCCTTACCCAGCTTTCATCTCCACTTCGCATTACTAGGAGTCACCCGCTTCTGGAATGTACCTTCTCCAGTCACTGGTTACAGCACCACAAACTCCAGCTCTGTGTTGCTTCGAGGAAAAGGATTGGAGCTCCAGTCTCCTCCCTGAAAGATCAGTACTTGCTCTACTACCCTAAAGCTGCCATTCTCTCCCTCCGGCGCCCTTTCTCTGCTGACTGATGTGTGTTCAGAAGACTTCGTCCCAGAACTGCAACTGTACTGTACGTGGCTGCCAGCAGTCCCTGGGTACGGCTGGCTTGGTATCTGAAGCGTGTAAGTACACTGACACTGGGGATCCCCGGCGCCGTGCGGAGGTAAGGAAGACCAAGCTCACAGAGGCCTACCTAGGCCAGGAGAGGGTCACCTGGGGAAGGAAGGTGGCTCGAAGCCACAGCTGATTGGGCCATAGGAAGTGGGCAGTGGGCAGTGAGGGAGATCCTCAGATTGTTGCACTTGGGCCAAGATCAGAAGCCAGGCTTGGCTGAGACCTTCGGGGGCAGGACTCATGCCATGTTGCTATGGCGATTCTTCCACCAGCTCCAATGCTTCATCTAGGAAAGTTTGGCCTCCAAGACAAGAATGGTTGGAGTGGAGGTGGAAGAAAAGATGGAGCTGCTGGAGCTAAGACCAAAAGAATCCTGCTGAGGGAAAACCACGAGAGGAAGCACTTTCTGCTGTGTGTGTGTGTGTGTGTGTGTGTGTGCGTGTGTGAGTGTGTTTGTGTTGAAGAGTGAATTTTCCCTGCCATGTGCACACTGTGGAATTAGAGCTTTAACCAATTCATCCTAAGGCTTAGCCTCTTCCCAAATGATGCTCACTAACTCAGGGAACCCTAGATAGCAGAATTTCATTTTTACTGGACTATGAACAGATCTGTGTGAGTCCCCTCTCCACACACACACACACACACACCCCACCCCTTCTGCCATCTTTTCTAAACAAACAACAGATTGCATTGCTGCTGTTCAGAATATTATGCCAGGAAAACAGGGATAAATAAAAAAACTTCATCAAGAGTCAAACCAAATGTATGTGCCTCCCAAGCAACGTACCATGCAATTAGGAACACTTCCTAAATGTTCGCCGAGGCCCGTGCCTACAAAGACTCAGAGAAATCGTTGGCCAGCTCCACACTCCAGGAGAGGCCCATATGCGAACGCGAGTCCGGCCCACCATCTGCACTGTGCTCTCTCACATGCTCAGCAAGCATTCTCTTTGGGGTCACCCCAAGTCTCCATTATACAGATGGACAACCAGAGAGAACAGAAGCAACTGCTGCCTTCCTACCTCTTCCCTTGGGATCCACAGAAAGACATAGGCTCCTTTTCCATCACTGAAATGTTTGTCTTTAAAAAAAAACCAATGACGTTTGCCAGATCACAGGTATAGAGCTCAGAGTGAAATCACGTTCCACCAGGAAACATGGCATCTACTTCAACTGCCTCCAAGTACAGAGTGAGGAACATGTTGCTTCCTCCTCCCTGGGGCCCTGCTCGCAGCATCAGTGAGATGAGGTCTCAAAGGTGAATGGAGATGAAGACATGTAAAATCCATTGTGTTTTCCAAAATGAAAATTTACAGCCATAATAAAAAAGAAATAAAAATAGGAATTCTGCCTCTTTGTCCACTCTGACATCCCTAGACCGCGGCAGGATTCTCCACGTGACCCCAGGAAAGTCACTTTAATCTCACTAAGCCTCCAGGTCCTCATCTGTAAAATGCAGCTGTTTACAACACCAGTGCTTCAATCTCAGTGACTTTGGTGATTAAATGGTTCACTTCGGATGTCAAGAAGATGGCGCAGTGCCAGCACGGAGGAAGAGCTGGTGGACACTGGGAATTCTCCCACTCTGCCAAGCTCAAATGTCTCGCCGGAGCGGGCATGCGGTGACTCCCCACGGTAATGCGGGGAGGGCCCAGCCTTGGGACTCACACAAAGGCACTAGCAAAATTCTGGCCCTTGAGTCATTGTTCAGCATCCATTTTTCATACTCTCCAGAGAAGAGGGCTGCTGTGCCATTTCTAAACTCATGACAGTATTTTGTGCCCCAAGGTGAGCACCGTTGTAGCACTGACCGAGCTGACGTGGAGAAACCATATGCAGGGAGGGATCCAGGTGGCCTCAGGGCACGGATTCCAACGCTGTGACAAGGATGTGGGCAGCTGGGCTGATCAGCCTGGCAGCAGCGAACCCTGGACAGCCCCTTGGAATAAAGGTTTCCGGCTGGCTGCACAGCTCAGTGGCAGGGTCACCAGCGGCCACAGGTTCCAGGAGGCGAGGGTGTGCCCACACTCTGAGCAGAGCTTTCATCCAGAGAGGCAGGGAGAGGAGGGCTTGTGCGGCCACCACAGACACAGACGCTAGGAGAGGACTCCCGGATCTGCCACCTTGCGAGAGCAGCGAGCGCTGGTTATTGCACAGTCCCCTCACTTGTGGATATCTTCATTTGTCAGACCCTCGATGGAGCACCCCAAGACGTAGATCACAGTCATCCCAATCAGCAGCTGATGCGCGTGACGCAATCAGACCAGTCTGCGCCAGCGTCCGCATGGAGTTCTGGACTTGGAGTCGAGAGAGAATCTGAGCATCACCTAACTCACCACTGCGTTGCACGAAGACAGCCAGTCACTGGTGCAAGCGCTCGCCATTGCCGACGAGACGTGACGACTCAAGGACCTGGCACTGTATGACTCGAGTGTGAAGCATCTGATCCACCCCACATCAGGATCACAACTCCAACGTCCCAGCAACTGAGCCATAAAGAACGTTGCCCAGACCCCACCAGGGCTAGGAAAGCACCAGCCCTCAGGGTTTCGTCCCAAAGGGTTCACTCGCTCCCTCAAATCAAAGACAGCCAAGGAGACTTCAAAGTCAGACTCAAAGTAAGCCCCACCCTGGGAAGAAGCACCTCCTTGACCCTACAAGTCTCCCCCTCCTTCCCGATCTTTGAACCCCCACAGGAGCCAGACGGCAGGAGACAGCTCCCTTGCTGCAGACACCAAGCTTGTGGATAAACGAGCTTTACTAGCTGGACTCTTAAAACATTTACTTTTGACACAGTAGAATTTGAATACAAATGCATTATTTAAAAATGCTGCTCACTGAATAATCTTTCTTAAAATACAGATTTTAGAGTTCAGTGGCTCCACAACACCTTGAGAGATGCCTCCACAGGAGCTATTTAAGTGAGGCAGTGTCCAGATTCTTTCCTTCTCTCTTCTGGCTACCAACAGTAGTCCTGAGGCCATGTTCTCTGTCATCCATGTCCTTGAGCCTCTGATGGTCCAGAGGTCCACACAGATCCACAGAGGCCCACACTTCGTGTGTATAATACGAGTGAGGCATGACTCACTCGTGCCAAGCCCTGGAGCTCTGCGGAGGTTGTCGGTACAGCGTTATGCTGGGTCCCATTCCACCCGGTGCATCTAGAAAAATGTCTTGTGCTGACACCACACACAACAGATCTTTATCCACGGGGCTCTGTGGGGGAGAATTGATTCAATACGGTTACCTTGCCCAATGTAAGGTCCACATTCCCACGTTTAGGAAGCTCCAGTCCACATACAGAGACCAAAAGAGACAGAAGGGAGACACAGGCACAAAGGAAGAAAAGCCAAACCGTATTAAGTGCTCTAACAGGAAGATAATGAAGCACTCTGAGGCCACAGAGTGAGGTTGGATTAGCTCTGCTTGGGGGTCTGAGAGAAATTCAAGGAAGAAATATCGTTAAATCATTAAACTTATGCCTAAAAGGAGTTCTTTGGGTAGAGCTGAGAAGGCAAGAAGAATATGAATAAAGGCTCCCCCCACGGTTCTTTTGGGCTGTGGAGCTCAAGTAATAATTGAGAGCCTACGATAGTCCCAGGGCCCATTCTGTCCTGACAACTGGTAAAATCCAGAGATCTTTTTCTAGTTGCTAAGTGATCTCACTAGAAGTTTGGATGAGGACGACACTTCATGTCGGTAGCTCTTATAAGGGAGAGCTGGAACCACAAGATTCTAGATCTATACTTTAAAATGTTATTGAATGAGCAGCATCTTAAACAGCACCTCCCTATTCAAATTCTGCTGTGACAAAACCAAAATTAAGTCAGACGTTAATTGGTGAAGGCTACTTACTCCTACACTGCTACTGCAAAGGAGCGCCTGCTGTCTGTCGTCCTCCCTCACTCCGTGGTAGCCACCATCCTACCATGATATTACCCCTTTCCCAAGGGGCCCCCTCGAGGTGAGTCTCCCCACCATAGTAAAGAATAAACTTCATCTTATGAACAAGTTGCTTCGGTGACATTTTGAGGAGTGAGGGTCAACAACAGCCAACTTTTCAGTCTCCTAGATCAGCTGACTCAGCAACTACCTGTGACCTGATCACAACGCCAAAGTACATTTTCTTGCTTTTCTCCTTTGCAGCACCCAATTGCAGGTGTCAGTGTGCAAATTACTCCAATTACTATGGCAAAAACCAATCCTACAATCTCAGTAACTCAGTGCACCAAAAGTACAGGTCTTGCTGGCATTTTGTGTCCCATGGGACCTTTGTTCACAGCTTATGAATACAGATGACAGAGGGACTGCCATGTGAGACATTATTATCGTCCAAAACAGAGGGTAGGGAAAGCACAGAAAACATAGATGTATGGGGTTGTTGCTGCCTCAGTTTAGCACTGATAGGTATTTCACTGGCCAGAACCATCCAGATGGCCCACCTAACTCCAGGGGACGAGGGACACAGGAAGCATGTTTGATGAGCATTATTGCCCCTGGCCTGTGAAGTTATGCAAAGATACCAGAATCACAACAGTAGGCAGATTACCAGACACTTCAGATCTGGCAAAGCAAAAACCCTGTGATGATACAAGATCTGTGATAAACAGCTCTCCGAGGTCCCTTCCACTTGGAGTCACTTCCAAGGAAGCCAGAGAACCGTCCTCAGGAAGGTGGGCTCCAGACCAGGGACAAAGAGTCTGGATCTTTGCACCTGTGCTGAGCTGCTTCTTCCTTAGGATGGAGTTCAGGCTTGCGAGGCTTGAGAGCTTAAAAATGACCTGGGAAACCTCTGCCATCCAGGCAGCAGTACCACCAAAGGTTACCCTAGCTCAGAATCAGTGGGACTAAAGCAACGTGGAAAACTCAAGTCAGCTTGTGTCCTCATAGACAGGATAAGGCCCCCATTCCCACACAGGGAGCTCTGAAGGCTGTGTAATTCACATCGCCTCCACCTCCCTCCTTACATGGAGAAGGGGCCTACTTACTGACTTCTGTGAACCAGCTCTTCCCTGGACTCTGCCCTCAGGCCTGTTTCAGTGCTTCTGGCCCAGCGAGGGTCTGACTGAGTCCGTGTGCATACATACAGCTGCCCCCATTGTTCGGGATGGCAGGGTGCCCAGTGGGATGACCACGACCCATAGGCTCTGGAAGTCAAGACCCCAGCGAACTGAGACAAACCACCAGAGAAACAGGACAGGGGCAGCCCTTGTCTAGGAGCCCCTTCTAAGCCACGGTGACACCAGCTTGGCCCCTCTAGCACGCCATCCACTCAAATGTCTATTCCAGATCTAAGAATAGCCACAAGCAGGAAAACAAACACCCACCTCTGAATGTAGCTCCCTCTGCCAGGACAGACGGCAGAGCCGCGGGGGCTCTGGACCCTGAGGCAGCCCTCTCCAGACCGGCCAACAAGCTGTGCACTGACAGTGTGAAAAATAAACAGTCGAGTGCACGCCTCCCCCTTCTCACGTCTCTCTTAGTCTCTGTCCTCCTCCCTGGGTGGACGCTACCTTTCTCACAACGGCCTCAGCCTCCAGGAGAGACACCGACATCATCTTGGAATCTGCCTGAATGCTGGATGAATCTATTCAGTCTGGGGCGAAATCCTTTTTTATTAAACTGTGCAGATGCAATCAGATAGAAGAGCAAGTGCTCGTGCCTCAGGTAGAGCATGATTTTGAGGCCCTGAGAGGGGCAGATTTGGTGGCGTCGAGACAGAACACACCTCACACAGGCGGAGAAGGAGGCGAGATGGCCGGGAGGGCCTGGCCTGCGGAAGGGCTGTGACTGCCAGCCCTGGGAGGAATGTTACCAGAGACTGCGCCAGTGACCAGGGAGACAGGCACCCGAGGTCAGGCAGCAGGCTGGATGGTCTGCTTGCGCTGGTTACAGCTACACAGTCAAGAGCAAGAGAAAAGATAGACACCAGGAAGCAGGGAGACCATTCTTTTCAGATGGGAAGGGGACCAAGAGATGGAGGGATGGAGGGAGGGAACCCCTACTTTATGTTTTTAAATAGTAGAGTGTTAGAACAAGGCCGCATACCCCATCTGGTAGCTAAAGTAAAGAAGCATGATGTGAGCTGCTCAAAGCCAAAGCCACAGAGTTCTCTAGTGCATTGCTTTGCAAATAGGTTTCAGGTAAATTCCCATAGATGTCCATTTTAAAAGCAAAGTAGAAAAAATAAACAACTACACCATCAACTACAGTAGTTGAAGTCGCCCTGGAAATGGACCCTAAGACAGGGATTTATTTCCAAGTGTGGGAGGAGCAGGAAATGCTGTGAGGAGCCTGGGGAAGTAACAGATATGGAGGGAGTGTGAATAAGACAACATATGTTCTCAGCACATTGCCTCTCTGGGCGTAGGGAGATCATCAACTGGGGAGCTGAGAGAGGGAGTAGCACAGGTTCTCCCACTGTGGAAAGAAGCAGCCAGGGTATTGTCCTTCCCTTCCCATCTGTCATTGGTGGAGGGCTCTGTCTTTCTGAGCTGGTCTGCAGGTGAGCGCAGGGCACGTCTGTGGCTTTGCAGAAAGTCTCCAGGCTAAGATCTGGAGACAGTGACAACTGAAGTTCAGCATGAGCACGTGGGAACGGGAAGGTCTGAAGGCTGAAAGAGGCACTGGCTGGCTGTGCACCGGGGAGAGGCGGTGTTCTAAACTGCCCACTCCCTGAGTAGCTGTACTTCTGCTTGCCTCTATACTGGGGATAAATAGAAGGCGAAAAGCTCACCTTTCTCTTGTTCGCTATTTGACTTGGTTCTTCATGGGGTGACATGTAAAAAATGTTGCCTCAGTCATGTACTTCTGCCTTCTACCCAGTTTTTCAAACTCTGCACCATATACCTGCTACACCACTGGACTCACCCACACATGTGTGTAGCCCAAACCACCCTTTTATCAACATGCCATCTCTCTGCCCAACATAGACACCAAAATGTGTGCATTTCATGAGCTTCAAAACAGGTGTGTGTTCCAAATTTCAGAATATTATAGCTTTTTAAATTTAATGAGACATGAGAAGATTGAACAGATGTCTCTAATTCAGGTCATGCACTTTGGAAATATGACCTAAACCTCAGTGTCTTTTTTGCATAACAAAAAAATATAGGCATATATTACATCATCCTTACAAATAAGCAAGCACATCCCATTATGTTTTAAAAAGAAGTCTATGTCTCAAATAAAACCTTATGCATTGTACTGGTGCAACCTAAAAAACCATTTTGAAATTTAATTTCTAGAATCATTAAATTTAAAGTCATTGTAATGTACAAATCTCTGACAAGAACCAGAAGTGCAACCTATCACCCTGAAAAAAAAGATAAAATAAATGTAGATTTAAAAAGGACTTGAATTTCCTTAAAGCCCTCAGAAAATGTTACCATTTAGTAATGACATTCCCTGTTCATTTGACCTCAGCTTGACACGCCGAATTGCTCTTAGCAGCTGTGGCCAGACACATAAGTTCTACATCTTAACTCTTGCTTTTCTAATTTGTGCAAAAATGCACATTAAAAGAACACCAAGGGTAGCACTAGAGACAATAAAAGAAGCAAAGCCACAAGTAATCATGAAATCCACATCTACCCAGGCAGAGAAGTCACCAACATCTCCCCACAAATTTTGCTATCATTTCATGTGGAAATAGCTCAGACTTAGAGAGATGTTCTGCTTCTTACCTGATTCCATGGATTCAAAATGCCTGGGTTACCAGCGCCTGAACTTATGTCTTTGAAATTAAAATTGGAAAGGAACGTCTTCATGACTGCTGGACTACTAAGTGGGTTGCCATATGATTGATTACGAGGGCTGTGAGGTGCAGACAAGGGGTGTTGGTCTATTTTAAAAGAACTTAGGGAGTCTATAGATTTCCAAACCAGTTTCCATGCTCAGTCTACCTGTCTCCGATAATGTGACAGTGGGTGACTCAGTTCCATCAGGTGGAAGAGAGCAGCGGACTTGGTGATAGCACCATTTTTGGTGATTCTTCATGGTCCTTGCCCATGGCTGCCTATAGTATTATCAAGGAACTATCACAAACACCCCAGGCCTCACCAGCCAACTCTAAGTTTAAACTCAGGAAGTGAGATGCTTTCAATGTTCATTCAGAGTTGAGAATCACTATTAAATTTTGGTAGTAAAGAACAAAAATATAGGTGGTCTTGGTAGATACCATTTATTTATTAATTTCCTAAGAATCCATGATCTAAATATCCCATTGTCTATAAAAGTAAATATTTTATTTTAAACCTAGACAATATATGTATTTGTTCATTCAACAGAAATTCACTGAGCACCTGCTATGAGCCAGATACAGTACTAGCTATCATATGTGCAAAAATTAATAAAGCATAGTTAAAGGTCTAATCTGCAAGTGAGAAGAAACAAATTAGGATGATTACAACATAGTGGAATAAGTACTTTCAGAGTGCATATAAAATATGGACAAAAACAAAAAAACAAAAAAAAAGTTAATTCTACCTGAAGAAATCTGAAAGGGTTTCCTAGAAAAAGTAGAAATTAGCTAGAAATAGAGGGTAAGTTTGATTCCGGGAAACCTGAAAACGGATTTAATGGACTTCTTTTAAAACATAGCCTCCAAGGGGTGAAGAACTAGAACAGATATTTCTCCAAAGAACACATACAAGTGACCAGCAGATCAGTGAAAAGACTGACAACCTTGTTGATCACTAGGGAAATGCACATGGAAACCACCATGAGCCATTACTTTGAAGGCTGCAGAATGGGTGCTATAAAATGAAATAAAACAACAAGGGTTGGGGAAGATGTGGTAAAATAGGAACCTCGTGCCCAGGCAATTGGAACCAATTCTTGGTAGAAATTAAAATGGCATAGCCACTGTGAAAAATAATGTGGCAGTTCCTCAAAAAATTAAAAATACAAATACTATTTGATCCAGCAGTATATAGTTCCAATTTGGGTATTTACTCAAAAGAATTACAAGCAGGTTCTTAAAAAGATATTTATATACCCAGGTTAATAGAAGTATTATTCACTGTAGCTAAAAACATGCAGTCACCCTAATTGTTCATTAATGGATCAAACAGACAATGAAATAGACACAGTGGAATTTTTTCCACCTCAAAAAGGAAGAAAATCTGACATTGAGGTCATTATACTAAGAAATGTAAGCCAGTCACACCAAGACAAATACCCTATATTCCTACTTAGGGGAAGTATGTAAACTAGTCAAAATCATAAAAACAGAGAGTAGAATGGCAGTTGCCAGAGGCAGGGAAGGGTAGGGAAAGGCCAGTCATTTTTTCATGGATACCAAATTTCAGTTTTGAAAGACAAAAAGAGTTTTGGAGACAAATAGTGTGATGATTGTACAAGATGAATGTACTTAACTAAGATCAATGAAACAGATATTTAAAAATAGTTAAAATAGTAAGCTTTTAGATGTTATTAACCACAATAAAACATAATGGAAAAATACATAGACCCCCCACTGATCTCTCAAGAGCAAGACTTTGTGTTCAGTTAGAAAGATTTTCTGAGGCCAGCAAGGGATTCTGAAAAGTCATATGCCCCGGGGTGGCAGAGCTGGGGCAATGAGTCCTGGCAGAACGGAAAGGACTAGAATTTAGGGTGGCGTGTGCCTAGGCAGCAGTTTCTGCACAAATCGGTCTTGGGATACCTAAAGCCAAAGCGGTTTGGAGTCAGTAAGTAAAGCTGGGGTCTAAACAGGACATACCAAACATGAACACCAACTTTTCAAAATACAAAGTGAAATAAGGCAGGAGCCATCCCAGGCAGGATTCAAGGGAAGGGAGATGAGAAGTAGGAAAGAGCGGGATCTCGGACAGTGACTGGGTTAAGTCCTCCTTTCCATTTCCATCATGGCAACGCTTAGAATTTATTTGTCCCACTGTGCAGCCAGCTTCTCATCTTCAGCCTCGGGAGCCGGGCCCAAGAGTACAGGACAGAAGACGAAACTGAGCTGGCTGATTCACAGAGGAAGTGGTCATGCACCAGGACAGCTGGAGGAGTCTATGGCAGTGCTTGTGTTGAAAATGTTCCTCCAGCTCACAGACATCAGAGTTTGTCCACTCAATAATCACTTTACATGCACTTAGCACTTGGCAGATGCAAGCTCTGCCTTCCACACTTTGTAGTCTAGGTGGGGACATAAGCAGGTATACCACGGCACATTACCTGAAGGTGAGAGTTTTTTGGTGTACATGCTTATTTTCCTTGCCTCCCCCATCCCAACCATACTTACCATGCCCTCCTTGTTTCCAGAAGTGGTCAGCAACTTAATGAGACAATAAACAAATATATGAGTGAATGGTCTTAACTTCTCCCGTTGGAACGCTATCAGTACAAGTCTGAGTTGAAAGAAATTTTGTGTTTTGTATAAAACCAGCCTTCCACTTAATAAATGAAACAGTGGTATTATGAGAAGCTGTAATGTGCTCCCAGTCAGAGCTAGAGTCTTTCGTTTCTAGGGCTCTTTTCACTGGACCCTTACACATTGGCAGAAGTCTTTCTACCAGTTCCACTGAAAATTTCCAGTGTGAAAACACGAGATTTGAGAAACACTTAGGACACCATTAATGACACCAGTTACTTGTTAAAGTGAAAATAAACAGTAATGTGAAAAAGACACTGTGAAAACAAAATGTTGGAGGAAGCAGGACAATTGCCCCCATTTTAGTCTACTTTCTGCTGCTACAACAGAATAGCTGAGATGAGGTTGCTTGTAGACAATGGCTTATTTATCTCAGGTTCCTGAGGTTGGGAGTGCAAGTGCCAGGCAGCCACATCTGGGGTGCACCCTCTCCCTGCATCACGAAACAGTGAAAGTCAGAAGGGCGAAAGACTGTGAGAGACAGAGGAGGAAATCAGGCTGGACACAAGCTGTGTACTAGGAGCACACTCCCAGAAAGACCAAACCTCTCCAGAGGACGGTGACACCAAGCCATTCATGAGGGCAAAACCTACATGACCTAATCACTTCGGAAGACCCCGCTTCTGAACAGTGTTGTGCTGGCATTAGATTTCAACTCGACTTTGGGAGGGACATTAAAACCACAGCACCCACCCAGGGCCCAGTACAAAATAAAGCCTCAGCGATCAAAGGTGCTGTAAGACCAGACAGAGATATGGACAACACTTAGCTGAGAACCAGAAGGAAGAGTACACCAAAACTGAGCAGAGTGTAAAATGCTTCACGTAGATTAGACGGTCTGAAATTGTCTTTTAGTGCTAGAACAGCTGAGATGCATTTAGGAAAAGCCTGATTTTCCCATTGCACTATATTCTAAAATTCAGCTGAATTAAAGAATTATATGTAGAAACAAAGAATGGCGAAAAATCCAAGAAATTATAATCAAATATTCATGGTGTTTTTGAAAGTCAGAAGAATTGTATGCATTTCAGGTGATGGAGGAATTCACAAAGAACATGACAGATAAGGTTATAGAGTGTTAAAGTTGAAAGGTTTAAAACTTTAGTAACGTTAAAAGGCAAATAACAAGAAAATATAGGCAACAAAGATTAAAAGGAGGCTAACACCTTTTTCACTAAGATCTTACAAGAAAATAATACAAACCTATCAGCATAAACTTGAAAGGACAACCAATGAACACAAGAACATTGTTACTAACCACATGGTAGTTCATGTCAAAAGCCATGGAGAAATGTATATTTATTGTGAGCCAGAAACATGTTCCAGACCACACAGTGAACGGCAGGAATTCATTACTGGCGAATTTCTCTGAGATCATAAAACTAAGCAATGCTCAATTTGTTTCATGTAGTACCCTCACATCAAACTACAAATATGCTACATTCAAAACTCTTGGGTGCTACTTCTAATCTGCCTTTTCAAAACAGAGTAATCTAATTTAAAAAAAGATTGTGAAGGAATCCACCATCATCCACCATCAGTGGATGGGTGGATTCAGGGATGGATGGATGGATGGAGAAAACTTTGGCACCATATAAATCATTAAAGAAAAATCAGGCAAAATATAGCAGAAGAAAATCAACAAACTGTAGGGAAACAACAATAGTGAAATTTAAAGTATTTTATTTAAAATGGTGCAGATAAAGTCAGGACTACTTTGGCTTCAGCAAAAGAAATTGTGAACAGAAGTGTAGGTTCTTGTAATACCACTAAATTCTCAAAGAAGTTGTATGGTGGTGCTTTTTGAGGGCAGTCGCAGAATAACTATAGATATTTGGTTGGAGGAGGCACCCACGCGACTGCTCTGCTTTGAAGCTGAAAGCAGAGCTACAGTACCCTACAGAAGCCTCTGCCCTTACCTGTGTCCTAGGATGGGACAACACTCCTGAAAGAGTCCAAATCAAGGACCAAGAAGATTGAGTTCTCATCCTGGAGGTGGATTAAGGACAGATTCCCAGGAAGCTGTGAAATGGACCGGAAAGGAAGAAAGACGAAACAGGTGAATTTGGTAAAAAATTAAAAGTAAGGGTGGAGAGTGATAAACAGTGATAGCAAAAATCTATGCCTTAAAGAAAGATGATGGCTACAAGCAAACCATAAAGAACAGTGATTAGGAGACTATTAGACAAGTTAAGGAGAGCTGTTTCCCTGGAGTAGCGTGCATGAACCGGATGACTGAAGAATCAGCTAGAGGGGGTAAAAACGTCAAATGTAAAATATTTATTCGAGAAGTTCAATGGTAAGAGAATAAGGGACCTGCTCCAAGGAACATCAGTGAACTGAAAATAATGAACAAACACACTACAAACTGTCAAAACAATATGCACGCATTTCCTTGTTGTTATGACAATTAGTCCTGGCTAAGTTGTTTTGATTTTTAACAAGTTGTTTCCATTTTTTGTTCAAAACCCCTAAATATTTCCCTGTCTGTTCATTACTCCTCAAGTGTCATTTTTAATAACCACGGGACCCTGACGTGCACTAGACTTCAGTAAGTATCCTGAAATGAGCCTGTCCCCTGTCTCAGCTCCTCCGTGCAGCATTTGCAAACACTAAGCATCAGCAAGACTCCTTTGAGGTCCTTTGGTCAGTCTTGGTTATGTGACCCTTGGGGAGGTTACCCTGGCCATGGGCCCCTTTGTCAGCCACACCCTTCCACAAATAACCTTTAGAAAGCTCCTCGTGTGCCATTGCCTTGCAGAAAAGAATTCATTGCAAGGTTATAGGAAGAAATTCAATTAACATAGACAGTGTATTACAAACAAAACCGCCAAATGCTCAGAAGAGCGCTTTGCTTCTCGAGTAAGAATTTTCATTCCGTTCTGGGGATGTGGAGGAGAGAAAGCAACGGGAAGCTGGGAAGGTCTCCCAGGCTCCTGCGCCGGCCACTCCCAATGTGAGCCTTGCTTTTCAGCAGGGTTCTTCCACATTCTTGCCTGGCAGCCTACTCTCAATCTGCTTTGTTGCTTCTTACCATGCCCTCGGCATAGCCACAGCAGGGGACCCATGGAGGGGCCACCAGCTTTGTCTCTCCTCAGAGGTAACTATCCATGTTCCACCAGCGCCCTCCCAAGAAATATGTTCTGCCCCTGGCTATAAGGACTTTCCCTGTCATTTCTTTTTCTCCTGCCCAAGTTAGGCAAGCAAGTTGTCCAACAGGAAGTATTTTCTACCTATGAGTCCACACTTCTTTCTCATTAGGAAAAGAATTGAGCAATCAACCTAGCACCTGCAGTCATATTCCTCAACTACACAGACTGCTGGTAGGGATGGTTCAGCTGTCAAAACATGGTCTGACCCACCAAGGCAGGCTTCCTCCGGAATATCCCAAACACCTCCTCCCTCTGGGTCTCTGACTTCCTCTCTCCTCAGCCAAAAGCACCCTGGTAGCTGTGGTGCATTTGAGCCCCCATTCTCCTTGCTATTTCCCACCTGCTCCCTTTGACCCTAGGCCCCAGTATGCAGCTCTGCCGTAGATAATTTTATTCAAGGCCTTTATTAGCAAATGGATTTATGGAGTAAATTAATTAAGCCTAGAAAATTCCCTCCATCAATGTCCTGCCCATCCGTAATTTAATCTCCCTGCCTACCTCATCCTCGAGTGTGCTCTGTCAATGCCCATTTGCACCACAGCTCTGGCACCTTCCCTCCAATCCATAAAACCCTGCCCAGACCTGGTATATGGAGTGGACAGCTGATCTCCTGATAATACGGATACTGACCCACCTGGGAGAACAAACAAACACACCACACCTAGTTAGTAACAAGGAGATCTCTGCGATTCTTGCTAAAGGACCGGTTCAGTGACAAAGCATGATTGACTCGTATCGGTCCTTTACTTGAGCGCAGTTCACCCCACTAGGGACCCCAGAGCAGTTTGGAGACTGCTCCGGGCCTCCGTCCCTCCTCTGACTTGTCTCTACCCTCCTCTTAGGCCTTTCTCCGTCTCAGGATCATACGGCTAGTAACTCAACTTTCTTTCTCTCTTTGTTCTCTCCTTGCTGCTTCTCTGTACGCTCATTTGACTCCATAACTGTGTTTTCTATTTGTCCTGTTTGTGTGTTGGCTTTTCCCAGGACACTGGGTCCTTCACTGTTAAGCCCTTGATCTTACCTGGGTCCCCAATTAACCACAAGAGGGAAAACGAAACTATGTCTCAACCTTGTAATTATACAGCACACAAAATCCCATCCACTTTATTCCTCATTCCTACCAGCCTTTGTTAACTAAATCCTCTATCCCAAAATGGCCCATCAACCACGGCTCACTTCAGGCTCACTCTGGGCTTTGTGAGGTGATCATCTCCCCTTCCACTCTTCACTCTACCATGTGACCAAAGGAAAGATTGGTCAAAAGGCTCTTCGAGGTTTCATGACCCTTCCACTTACATCTGTTACGATTTAGATCTAAAATATTCCCCAAAATCTCATGTTCAGAGATGGGGCTTTTGGAACACGACTGAATCATGGAAGGGTCAGACTCATCAGTACAATAGTCTATTGGTGAGTTCATGGGTGTTAGGATGTAGGACCTGTTGGGAAGAGGTGGCCACTGAGGGTGTGACCTGGAAGGGTGTATTCTTGCCCCTGGTTCCTCCCTTCTCTCACTGCTTCCTGACGCCATGCAGTGAGCAGTGGTCTCTACAGAGCCCCTCCACCAAGCTGCTTATGCTTGAAGCTAGCCAACCATGCACTGAACCGCCTGAAACCGTGAGCCAAGTTAAAACTTCTCCCCGAAATGTCAGGTAATTGTCTGAAGGACAGGAGCGTGACTGATATACCAGCTCTGTGAAACACTGTGCACCCTCTGCCACCCCTTCTGTAAAATATGAATAAGATTTTATGTCTCATACATATTACAGTGGAGATGATATTTAAAAATTCATACAGGTGTCTAAATGCAGCATATGTTCCATAAATTTTTGATTTCATTACTATTTCTGCCATAGACTCTTACGGCCACACAACTAAGATACAAACCAATTCTCTTAATGTTTGTATCTGGTAGTTATTGCAACAATTTATTGAAGTCATGAAAGTAGCACAAAACAAAAAGGAAAAGTTCATCAGATTCTCCTTCAACTACCCCATCAAGTTCATTGTGCCTTTAAATCCACACTAGCTTTGCCTAGAACAATTCTTTTAGAGTTTTAAGCTGTTTTATTTGTTTTAGGGAGTCAACCATTCCATCCCCACTTCTCATCCCTGCTCCTACCCTTTCCCTAGAATGTGATTATTTTAAATGACTTAGACACATCCTATTAAGTTCATAATTTGGAGACAAAAATGTCTGTTTCATTTTTTTATTTTCTCCTGGTTGGATAAAGTAACAAATATCACTTGACTTGTCCCTAAATATTCAGTTAGATGTCTTTCCTTACTAAGAAAATACCATATACAGTCATTCTTCCTCCACTGTATATAAATTCCAAATGCTACCTTAGCAGAATTATGAAATAAAAATGAATGCTTTCTTAAAGCATTTATGGAGACTGGGGAATAAATGATAGAATTTTCTTATATTTCTTGTATAAGCAGATAACAGATACATTTAATGCAAGAAGGAAATAGAATTTTAATAGAATTTTTAACTAAAGATCTTGAAACAAAACTAGACATACATTTTAATTGAATTTCTGGCTCAAATTACAGCAAACCATTATAAATCATTAGGAATCAGTTTTAAAACTGCTTTCACTTTTCTCCGTATTACAAACACAGAGGTAAGCTTTTACAGCTTCAGATAAGTGTTAATAAATTACCCGAATTTCAAAATTAATGGCTGCCCGGCTGCTTTGGGGAGATATCATTGTGTTTCATGAATATTTTGATTTTGTGATTAGATCAAAATGCACTGAATTCCTAAACAGTCATAACCAAGGTCTGCTGATCATAAACTGTTCTTTTTTAATAAATTATATTCCTCACAAATCTGCTGATATGGAATAATTAGAAATTGGTTGCCAGCATTTACTGTAATATTTGCATGACTTTAGATCTCCACCTACTGATCTGGAGGCTGGCAGGAAATGTACATTTTGTACATTTCTAAATATACCTTGCCTGCAGAGATAATGGTTTATATTGTGATGGTAAGAAGGTTTTTATTTGCAAAAAACAAAGAGATGTCACTTGCCCATTCTGGAAGACATTGATTAGGCGGTGTGTGTCATTCCTATTCAGAACTTATTATTTACAGCTTTCTTGTTTCCTTCCCTCTGTAAGAGATAAAGATCTGTATCTTATAAACTGCTTTAAGAGTGTCTACTTTCCTTTTAGGGAGTCTTGAAATACATTTTATAGGATGGGAGCATCATGAAACTAAGTGGAAACTGAGTAAAATTCAGTATCCCAATCTATTATAACGTCTCCAGGTGTAGCCCTTAAATTAAGTGGTATCTAGAGTTACACTGAGGAGAAAAAATCCTCAGGACAAACCCATCCTGCACCTTGTTAAAGCTCATGTGTCTAAATTAGGCCCTGTACAACCTGTTATGTAATCTGATAATTAAATGCAGTCATATTGGACAACCCACTGACTGCAAATGCTTAAAATTATTCTTATTCTTCTCAATCTAATGATCTCTTATGCAACTGAGGGCCTCCAGGAGCTGAAAGCTGTGTTTCAGAATGTCCCAGTACCATCATATTTATGGACCATTTCTGCAACACTCGAGAGAGCGAGCATTTCAACAAGGGGGCAAAAACAATCCTTGATAAAATCCAGAAAAAGATGCAAAAGGGTGCCTGAGACAATCAGCTGCTGTTTCTCACCATCTGGGCACTGGGGCACGGAGGAGCCCTGGGGCACTGTGACCCCGAGCCCTGGCACAGTGGGTTTCCCTGAGCCTTGTCAGCTGTGGGCCAGGAGCCCTTCTGTGCCTTTCACGTGACGCTGGGTCACCCAGCCACCTTGCCTCGCCTTATGGGAAAGGACATTCTCTCAAAAGCAGTATGCTTTGGCCAGTGAACCCCTCCATAACCCCCACTCCACACACAAACAGAAGTTAAAAAAGAAAAAGAACAGATAGATTCAAACACGTAAGAATCTATGGCAAGATTTTTAATGAACAGCATTTAACCTTAAAAAAAGATTCAGCCTGTCCAACATGTGATTTGTTTATCAAAAAAGTAAAAACGGGGTAACATTCACAGCCAGGCTTGATGTGGCTTAACATGCCAGAAAATATATCTAAGAATCTACCCCTCAAGTGCAACTCCATAAAGAAGTCAGAAAATAAAACAAAATGAACTCCCTGCCTCCAAAGGTCACTGCGTGGCTGAAAGGAGACAAAGCGTACTGCAGGGCCTGGCATCTGATAAACAACAAACATTACAAAAACACAAATTAAACAAACCAAGCCAGGGAAATGCTAAGGTCCTCACGTCAGCTTCCAGCGTGGATTTGTGTTGTTTTTCATGTGACATCGTCTTCCACACATTCATTTTGTCTCCAGCCATCTCCAATTTTTCCACATGAATCTTTACTTTTGCTTATATTTGCATTGAAAAAAATCAGGCGAAAACGTTCTTGCCCCTCAGAAGCGAGGGCGTCCACATCAGTCGTGTGTGTCAGCGTTTGCCCCGCAGGCGCCGTCTCCATGGCCACGGGGGCTCTGTTTTCCTTCGCAGGAGGCGGGATCAGCACAGCAGAGCCAGGAACCAACTGTCGTCAGGAAGGTGAGTCACCTTAAAAGAGATTCTTCCCTCTCTGTGTATGAACGCTCCATAAATGTGTACCTTTAAAATTTTAGCTAGTTTTGTTCTAAATATATGTTTAAAAAATAAAAAAGAAGGCATTGTTAGTGATAGATTAAAATAGAATTCTAGTCATACAGAGTTTGTTGCTCAAGAATGGTTTATATCCAGAACTACTTAATGAGCATCTGTTCTATGCCCAGGACGCTGCTAGGCCTTTGGTACTAAAATAAAGGGTGAGGACAGCCAGCTTTGGGTCAGCTTCAGGAAGCAGAGTCTATAGGACAGAACACCCAATGTCCAGCGACAAGCACTGAGGGCAGCTCTGTAGGGAGCTTGTCCAGGATACTGTGGGACCTGAGAGAAGCCCAGAAGACATCCTGAGGGTCAGGAGAACTCTGATATGCACAGAGTTTGGGGAGATGGGAGAAGGAAGCCAGATGCAGGAGCAGGGACTGCAGCATGAGGAGGGCCAGTAGCTGGGGAGACCCGAGGCAGTCCATGCGTGAAAAAGTGTACACAGCATGCTCCACTATGGTGGAGAAGGTGCTCTGGGAAGTCTGTAAAATACCCTTTTCCATTCACAGTTCACTGGATCACATCGGGCACTGCAGTTTGGATGCTCAGTGTCTCTGGAGGCGCATGTGTTAAAGGCTCAGCCCCAGTTTGGCACAACAGGAAGAAGTGTGAACAGAAAAGGCAGAATCTGGGAGAGACCTTCATCCCCTCCACTTCCTCTCTCCCTCCCCAGCAGTGAGCTGAGCTGCCACAGGCCCAAGCAACACGACCCACTGAACAAGGACCAAGCCCTCTAAAGCCATGAGCTGGTGTAAACCTCCCATGTTCGCAAGCAGATCACCCCTTGTGTTTGTTGCAGTAGTGGAAAGCTCACAGAATGGGTATCATCCCCCTTGTGCCCAGTGTAAGTAATGGAATTCCACTCACTTTCCCACAGTCCCTTGATGTAGTGGGGAATGAACATCTCAAACACGAGATGCAGAAGTGCAGCTCTTGATCTCAAAGTCTGAGTCGTCTCCAGGCATTCTCATCTTAGTCAGGGGGACCACCAGCTCCTTGGTCCCTCCAACCAGAGCTGCAGAAGCCATTCTGCACAGCTCTCCTTCCTTCCCAGTCTCCGTCCACACCTCAGTACTTTCCCATGCATAGGCAGTGGCACTTCCAGATTAGACCTCAGCTGGTGGTCTTCATTTCTATTATATCACCATAGCTCAAACTACCATTATTGCAACCAATTTCCCTCCAAGCTCTCCACCTCCATTCTTCAGCCCTTGTAACCACTTTTTTTCCACAGACACTTTACAGTGTTAATCTGATGCCCATATCTTTGGCTTAAAACCATGCAATAAGTAACATTCATTCTCTAAATCAAGTGTGTTAATGGTTTGTGTCTGGATGTCTCCTCAAATCCTCATGCAATCATGGAACGAGCTTTTAGAGTTGATGATTGATCCATGATCCAAAGCTGGGATTATGGGTTGAGTTCTTCCCCAACCCTCAGGTGGATAGTTTGCATATGTAAGGGAGAGGAAGAGGCTGCTTGCCGCCACTCCTCTCTTTTGCTGTTTTTGCTTTTTCCACCACCATGAATGGTTGCCCTGTGCCATGTGCCACTCTGTCTTGGAGCCAGCCAAGAATGGACTGAAACCTCCACAAGCTATAAACTAAATAAACCTTTCCTTCTTTAATTTTGGACAACAGGTACTTTGTCTCAGCAATGAGAGAAAAGTAACTAAGACAAAGTGTAAATCCTTACAAAGGCAGAAATTATCAATTCTCTTTTAAAATCCATTCTCCCCTTCTTCTCTGGCAATAGAGGTGCATCTGCTTAAGGTATGTCTCAACAGCAGAAGTTGATGGTTTCTCTAGGACCACGGTGATCACATAGCTAGTTTCCAAAGATAACAGCAATATGAATGGGAGGATGTGTGTCACTTGGACATCCAGGAGTTCAAATACCCTTACATGCTCTTGATCTTTCTACTGACCAAATATAACCACAGTGGAGACTTTGGAAGGAAACTATTGACCAGGATAGCACCCCTGCTGGCCTAGACTTCTGGATACATTTAACAAGGAGATATCTCCTAGTTCACCCACTTGTTTGTGGCAGAAAAATATACTTTTGTCTTGTTTGAGCCACTGGACTTCAGGATCTCTTTTCTCTTGCCATCTAGCTTTCACCCTCACCCATACAATGATCCAGATATCAGCATTAGGGTTTGTGCAGTATTAAGAGAGAAATTTAATGACTGTGGTATTTGGAGGTGGGGCATTTTGGAGGTAATTATGGTCCAATGAGGCTGTGGGACTATGGCTTTATAACAAGAGGAGTGTCCCGAGCTCAGGCTTTCTGGTCCTCTGCAGTGCTCCCACCAACAAAAAGGACCTCATTAGCCTCTTCAGTAATTCTACCTTCATCTTAAGACATGGGTCATGGAGGGGAATAGAGCAAACAAACCTAAAGCAAGCAGGACAAAGTGTAGAATAAAGACTGGAGAGAAAATCAGGAGTGAGGTCTCAGAATAGTGTTGAAAATACACTAAGGCCACACCCAGGCAGCTTAGAAGCAAAGGGTGTTTGTAGAATGCTAATGTCTGTCATAGTTAGGATGGCAGGGTTGGGAACAGACACATACGAGTCACAAATGTGCATCCTGAGTTCTGGCCTTGTTAGCATAAATCTCCCAGGAGAGCTCCCTCTTTATGTTTATTTTATAAGCATATATTTTTTAGGCTGTTCCTCTAGAAACACGCTTCCCTGGTAGGGTCCCTAAGTTCTCCAGGGGGCATGTCGCCAAGGCTCCAAAGTGCCCTTCTGGAAAGGGGATCACCACAGAGAGTCTGCATTGTTCATGGGTCACTGTAGACCTGCAGGCCTGCCTGGTTCCACTCCATGCAGAATGGGCACATGGACTTCCATTAAAATCCCCCAAGAGTCACACTTCAGATGGTAGAAAGCTGAATCCTTCCAGCTCCACGTCTCCAAAACTATCATCTGGCACTGACCTCACTAATCTCTTCTATTACTTTGAAATTTATTCTGAAGTCTGAAGTTATCCCACCCTTACTTACATTTCATAACACAGTGCCTACCAGTAAATAAGAGCATTCATTCCAAATCCTGATCTCATGGACTCAAATCCTGTCTTTGCAACTTAGTGAACTACGTGACCCTGGACAAGTTTCTTGGCCTATCTATGCCTCCATTTCCTCAAGCAAAATGGGGATAAAAATAATCACATAGGATTTTATGAGTAAATTAGTAAATGCATTAAAAGTATTCCGTAGAATGTCTAACATGCAAATGTAAGCATGCTAGTCATAATATTTTTATATGGAGAATTTATGAATATATCATCTCATTTAATTCTCACAGCCAACTTGGGAGGTGTTTTATGCTCGCCTGACCAACTAAGACACAGAGTCCCAGAGGCTGACATTTCCCATAGTTCCACAGCTGTAAAATGTTCTTAAATTGAAGCTTTTTACTCCAGTGCAGTGTTTCGTTATATTGTCACAGTGCAAGGTGACAGCCTAAAATGCTGATGAAGGTGGACTCTGTGACCAGGTAGACTGACGTTGGGACCCTAGGCTATCTACCTCCAGTCCCGAATTCTCAGACAAGTATTTCCTGTCTGAGTCACATTTATAAGAAGGGTGTATTAGTTCCTATTTCCTGTGGTGATTATAAAAATAGCTGTGAAAAAAGACTTTACATAGCGCCCATTCCTTATTACATGATCAACAAATGTTAATTTCCTTCCTTTCACATCTCTTCTCAGCCATGAAAATGTCCCCCTTCCAGGGGGCCGAGCTCAAGAGGATACCTCTGAGGCTGTCAGATCAAGAGAGTCGGCTGTGACATGCTCTCTCAATGCTTTGTGATGTTAAACATTAATGCAATTATTGCAACTAAGATGTGCTCATTATTACTGGAGGGGATGGGTAGAAAAATAAGACTTCTCGGAGTAGGGTTGTCATGATTTTTTTATTTTATCAAAATGCCACACAGAGTAGCAGGTAGAAGTCTTGTGTATTAGGAGCACTACAAAACATAATACAACAAAGGTTAATAATTGTTAAAACAAAAAGAATGGCAGATGTCCTAGGAGAAGTAAGACAATATAGTTAGGGGGAAACATTCCATGCATTCTGACCTTTCTAGTGGAAATTAAATACTTAGACTTACATGCCCAAAGTGAATATTCACTATCAGTAGACTTACATAAATGGAGGAGAAAAATTAATATAGGCATAAAACAAAGTTGCTGCGATTGCATACAGTTCTCCTATCTTTTCAACAAGGGACAACAGATTAAAAAGTACCTGCCAATTAAATAACTAAAGCAAGGAAAGACCCACCTAATGCTGTTTTCCAGGAAGGAACTTGTAGAAAGGTAACCCTGTTCCCCTACCCCAAACTGAAGGTCTCAATTGTTATCATTTATTTCGAGCAAAGAACAGTTCAGAAGGGAGGATGTGGAGAAACTAAAATGCCAGGTTTCAACCAAGAAAAAATGCTTTTACCAAGAAATCAGAGAAAATGCAATTTCATAAAAGGCAGTCACCAAGGACCAGAAACTTCTAGATTCAATTGTGGGACCCAGACCAAAATTAGCACAATCAAAAGTACAATAATAAATTTTTTTTACCTTCTGTAACTTTAGAGCAGAAAACAAGACAGCAATATCCATGCCTTGACTCTGCGGCCACACTTGAGCAACTCCGGAAAAATACAACCCTGATGCTCGTGGT